TGACAGCTCTGAATGGTTTTGGGTTGAATCGAACACACAACCACAACACAAGTCTGATGCTTTGTATAATGTTTACCTTTTCTACTCTCGCAACCTGTTGCTACAAAGTATAATAGTTTTGTTCACCTAACGGTTGTTCGTACCACCTGAAACTAATCGAGTTGGATATAGGATTATATATATAAATGATCAGGTTGAAGAGACGAGTTAAAATCCGGGTGACTGTCTGTCCGGCCGTCCGTCCGTGCAAGCTGAAACTTGAGTAAAATTGAGATATCTTTATGAAACTTGGTATACATGTTTTTGGTACCGTAAAACGGTTGGTACTGCCACGCCCACAAAGCGCCATTAAAAAACAAATTAATTGCAATAACTAAGCTCCACAATAAGATACAAGTTTGTTATTTGGTATACAAGATCACATTAGGAGGGCCATCTGCAGTTAAAATATTTTAAAGGTGGGCGTGGTCCCGCCCCTAATAGATCTTCTCTCTTGACTTGTTCCGTTAAAGCCGAACTTAATCCTTCCTTACTTGTTAGCTTGGTTGCGCGCATGTGGTTTTAAATTTTTAAAATAATATATAAATTATTAAATTTAACTATTTTTTACAGTTTAATTAGGTGTTGGATGAGTTGGAAGAAATGTTACGGAAATATTTACAATTAGATAAGAATTTCTAATATTCTGAAATGCCAGCTTCACATAACCCCACCTATTCATACTGAATCAGAATTTTTGACGTCCTGTATTTTAATAGGAATTAAAGTAGTGAATTATTGAAGAATAAAATACTTTACCGAAACGTGTTATAAGTATAAACTTCTTGATCTCGTATTACATTGAGTAAGTGTATAAAAAAATTTACCTTTTTATAACTTGTCTGAGAGCAGATTAGTTTATATAGTAACATGAAAACTTGTATATGTAACTTTATTAATTTTTTTGTTTTTCCGTTATTGTTCATGTATTGTTTTATAAATAAATCCAAAGTTTATTATATTTTTTTTATTAGTGAAAACAAGGTAGATTTCAAGGGGAAAAACTATCGATATTATCAACAGTATTTTTTAAAACTAATGAAACTATCGAGTGCTCCGACTATTGATAGTTTTACCAGAGAATGTAAATTATGGACATATAACAAAATGCGATGAGTGTGCTTCACCACATTTAGCTCGAAAAGAGAAATTTTAACAGTAGCGTGTGAACATGAGCTGAACGTTGAATAAAAAATTTGCTTAGAGACTAGCATATTAGTCTTTTGGCTTATATTTTTATACGCTTATATGTAAACATATTTATTGATATGAATATCACTTTATTATGTTTGATATTATAATATACTTTCATATAAGTATAAATATGTATACCATATGTACTATGTATTAAATATACTTGTATGCATAACATACTATCATAATATATATATTTAAAACTTATATACGCATGTATCATGCACATATCTATGTATGTATACCTATATTCACGCATTCAAATCACTAAATTATCACATATCAGTAATAACATATGGGCTTACTGCTCTATATATACATATGTGCGTATGACATTGCCTACATGCATTCCCGTTGGTCTTGACCCATGCACGGGCATGGTGAATAATACAAAAATTCACGCGCGACAGACTAACAATGAGCGGCTTCCTGGTCAGCGTCTGTTCACCATGTAATGTGCGGCTATATCTACAACCGGTCCATACCGGGGACTGGGAGTCCCACTCAATATCATCAGCTGTATCTCGCTGAGGGGTGATGTTAGCTTGCTCTGAAGTGTACATTGGGCGCAGAACTAGTAGACTGTGTTGCTCCGGGCGAGCGCCAGTTCGTTCGTGTAGTTCGAAACTGGTAAAGCGAAGGACAGGCCGCAGGGAACTGGGGTTGAGGCATCGTCCCCTAGGGTATACCCGTTCCTGTTAGAAGCCCGCTCCCCTGTACACGATGTGCTGGTAAAACTGATTAATGGACACAATAATAGAAAAAACAAACAATAAAAACAGCAATAGCAGTAACAAAAGCAGTGGTATCCTTAGCAGCTCTTTTCGAAAAACATTGATACCGAATGATCCTCCTCTGGAGCAGCTGATAAATGGCGCAGATAGAACTGCAAGCACGAGCGCTTTCTCAGAAGTAGGCCGCCTTCTTAAGCTTCGCGTCTAGCCAGATCGCCTGTGAAGATACTTTCTACGGATCGGATTACAACCACGCCTATTTCCCATATAACATCATTTTAAATTCCATCTGATTTTTTCACTTTCCAGTATGCAAATCAAGCAACAATGATTATATCGGCGTAAAACTAAGCGTAAATAATACGTTTAAAGTATGTCACCTTGTGACCAAAAATTATCTAAATTGAATCAAAACTGTTCCAGCCCCTAGGTACTGAATATGTGAACCCCAGTGCCTATAGTTGACTTTTTACCGAAAATATCGGTCAACATACTTGTAGATCAAGGCGGCAAGATCCACAAAGAAATCTAAAACGAGTATACCATTTGACTTTGCGAGAGTATAAAATGTTCGGTTACATCCGAACTTAGCCCTTCCTTACTTGTCTTTATGTACTATTCTATTTCTGTGGTTAATTCTAACCTTATTCCCTAAATCTTCTTATATTACTTGTTTCTTGCATTTAGGCTTTAATTTATATTTCTCCCCTATTACTTTCTTTTAAAAATATTACTTTGTGGTACTCATCTAGCGAAACGAATATGGGTATTGTTTATTCCATATAGGAGTTTCAACAATTGTCCTGATTTTTGTCTTTATATGCGTTCGAATCGGTAAATTCTCGTTTATCGGAGAATGTAGGTATATGATTTATTTTATTTCATATTTTTTTTCCTCAAATATTCAATTATTTTTTCATTTATGAATGAATGAACTATTTATGCAGAGAACTCTTTCTCCAAAGTAATTTCGTTTAGATAATTTTCTTTATTGTCGGTAAGTACATCGACTGACGTTGTAGAACTTTTTCATTCCACAATATATTATATTTCTTATTTTTCGTGCCGGTATTACATCGGCTGGCGTTGTCGAACTTTTTTTTCCAACAATATATTTTTTATTTTTAGTTACGGTACTATCCGATCCGTAAGTAATTATCGCTTTATTAATTAGTAAAGCTAATTTTTCATTAACCTTATTATAGTATTCAATAATTGAATAAGTGCCCTGTCGAAAAATGCTCATCTCCTGTTCGATAATATGAGCTGGTCGCTTGTCCGCGTAAGCAAAATCGAGTCGTGCCAAAATGGCATCGAAATTAAGAACCGTTCCGTGATTGGATAAAATGTCGTTAGCATCGTTTGTAATTTTATTTCTTAGGATAGTTAATGCAGCAAAATATCTACGGCTGCCTCTTACATATGAGCTCATTGCGTTATTGGCTGATTCCCTCCAGCTAACGCATTTAGTTTGTTTTCCATTAAATTCTGGTAGTGACTTGACCACCTCAAGTGACTTATCACAATTGATAGGTGGATCGATCACTTCTATTTTATAATCAACGACTGTAGTTGACTGTGTTAAATCCTGTAGTTGTCTTCGCAACTATTCTACTTCTAATCTAAGAGAAGCATTTGTTGCAACAAGATTCTCGTTTTCACTATATATTTAGAGCCATTTTTAATATTTTAGTTTTCGTATGTTTTAAATTTTATTCCTTTTTTGATAATCTTCAATTGTGGCTTTTTCTTTCTATATGATCCTTATCTTGTCATGTTTCTACTACAACATTTTAAGATTTTTAATAATTTTATCTGATCTATTGTTGTGTGACTCAGTTGGTATAGCATCCGTCATTTTTGTCAAAGTTTTTTACATAAGATTTTTTTATTTTATTTATTTAAATATATATTTTTTAATTTTTTTCCGTTATTACCTTCAGCTCGATTTGTGGAAACTCCCTCTTCCTTATTTTTAATATATTTTCTATTTTTAATCATTTTTTTATTTTCGCCGTTATTACCTTTGGCTCGGTTTGCGGAACTTTCCTGTGCCTAACGGTTGTTTGTATCACGTAAAACTAATCAAGTTAGATATAGGGTTATATATGTATATATAAATGATCAGGATGAAGAGACGAGTTGAAATCTGGTTGACTGTCTGTCCGTCCGTTAGTGCAAGCTGTAACTTGAGTAAAAATTGAGATATCTTTATAAATCTTAGAAAACATATTTCTTGGTACCGTAAGATGGTTGATATTGCAGATGGGCGTAATCGGACCACTGCCACACCCACAAAACGCCATTAATCAAAAACAAATAAATTGCCATAAGCTCCACAATAAGATACAAGACTGTTATTTGGTATACAGGATGACATTAGGGAGGGGGATTTGCAGTTTAAATTTTGTTTAAAGTGGGCGTGGTCCGGCTTCCTTAAAGGTTTAATGTGCATATCTCCTAAGCACAAATGTTTTTAGCACCTCTATTGACAGTGTGAAGATGGGTGAAATAGTTTGACAAGGCTGCCCACTCCCCATATAACGGTACTGTTAAAAACTACTAAAAGCGTCATAAATCAAGCACTAAACACGCCAGAGACATTTAATTTCATCTCTGACATGGTATCAGATGACTTTATAGAAACCGCCTTCAAAATTAGATAGCGGGTGTGGCCCCGCCGACTTTCAGGTGAAAGCCCATATCTTGGGATCTGCTTAACCGATTTCAACAAAACTCAGTAAATAATAATTACAACCACTTCTATTTCCCATATAACACCATTTTATTCCCACCTGATTCTTTCACTTTCCACTATGCAATTTAAGAAACAAGGATTGTATCGGGGTAAGCCTTCGCGGGAATAATGCATTTAAAGTATGCCAGCTTGTGACCAAAAATTATCTTAATCGAACCAAAACTGTTTAAGCCAATATGTACTGAATATGTGGACCCCAGTGCCTATAGTTGACTTTTTACCGAAAATATCGGTCAATGTGGAAGATATATAATTAAAATTCATACTTGTATAATAAAATAAATAAATGAAACTCTTGATAATAGTATGTTTTTGCGTCAAAAATGAGTTGAATCAGATCAATACTTCCTTTAATATAAAACTTTGCCAACACCTGAAGTCATTTCCCGGGCATTGATCCTTGCAAGTTGCGAGAGTATAAAATGTTCGCTTACACCCGAACTTAGAACTTCCTTACTTGTTACATTTTGAAGCACGCTAAAGTTGAAATGGAAGCTAATACAATCAGACAAACTTCATTGAACCAATGGCTGGAATTAATCGCAGAAGGTGTAGAAATAAATAGCGACGCCGTGATCCAAACAACAAAATACTTGTTGAAAGAGGCAAAAAACAATGTGGGCTTTGGTTTTGTGCGAACCAAAAAGCATTTTCTCGCGAAAGAAGATTCCCAAGAACTTGAATTTTTTCAAAATCATTTATAACTATCCTGACGATGTGTTTTATAGTCACTTTCTAACGATTCGAGTAATTTGTTTTCAAGCTTATGCTTAAAGTTACATTTCCAAGTTTAGAAATTATATCAAATGTTAGAGTCGTTGGGATTTTAAAAATTACTGGCCAGCTTATTGCCTAACACAGTGTCTTTAAAGAAATCTTTGGACGTTATGTAATGTGAACAGCTTTCGGAAATCTGTGGCAGATTTAACATTGGACAATCTACTGGATGTCGAATATTTCTGAAAACTATAAAATATATCGCATCATTGAAACACCAACCCAAAATTGTCATCCGACGGAAATACTCAAAGGAAAACCATGAACTTTTCACTTTAAGAAAAAAGCTGCTCTCATCCATTCCCATTTGTATTAGAATGCATTTATGGAATGCATTTCCCAACCTACAAGCGATTCCATTAGTTATTATAATCGAAAAGGATTTTACTCTGTTAATGTGCAGGTAAGTTTATTCTAACGTAAAATATTGTGTCTATAATAAAATTTGGTTTTGTCTTAAAGGCAGTAGCTGATAGTAAAATCCGTTTCAATAATGCTTTTATTAAATATCCGGGACTATGTCACGATGCTGATGTTTGGCGAAACAGTCCTTTGAGGAAAGCAATAGGTAACAACAATATTAGACTACCATTAGACTTTAATTTGCTTGGAGATGGAGCCTATGCATTCGAATCATTTCTTATGGTGCCCTACAAGGACAACGGCAACATTAAAGCAGAAAAAATTCAACACAATTTTGCGTTCAACGAGGGTTAAGATAAACCAAGCTTTCGGTATCCTTAAAAAAGATTTTCGCATACTAAATTATATAGAAATTCAAAGGCTTCATCTAGCTAAATATATAATAATGTCTTGCATGGTGATAAATAATTATAAATAATTATGGAATACATAGTGATGATTAAGAAATATTACAATATGTCTTCAGTAATAATCCAGAAGCAAATGCTTCACGTCATTCTGTGTCAATTGAAATCAATGAAGTAAAGTGTAAGCGACAGACTTTCCGACTTATTTTCCAGCTTAAAATATATAAAACTCTGTTTATTTGTTAAACTGCATTAAAAACAAAGTAGTATTTATTTATTTGGTTTCAGGAAATTATCAATGGTCTTGGAAGTTTGACAAAAGAAATAATCTCAATTTTTGAATCTCCTCAACCTTTTGCCTTTCCACTTCAACTCTACTTTCTTTTCTACCTCAACTAATTCTTTCACTAGTAGCCTATCTTCTGCAGATTCACTTTTCAATACCTCACGACGTAGAGTTAGCGCGTTTTGGTTGTGGTATTGGACTTTCTGATTGGAATGCTACCGTTTCCGCACTTGATACAGACGCTTCGTCGGTCATGCCACAGTTATTAATAGAGTCGTCAAGGGATGAGAACATATTTTCTTCCAGGAGCAGGAGCTTTTTTTCGCGAGTCCACTTTTTTCACTAAAAGAAAAAAAAATATATATATTTATAATATATTATAATATATATATAAATAAAAATATATATATATGTTCAGTGCAAAATTTAGCGAAATCGGACTGCAAGCACGCCTACTTCCAATATAACACAATTTTAAATTCCAACTGATTTTTTCACCTTTCAATTATGCAAATCAAGCAACAATGAATGTATCAGGATGAAACTTTGCCTGAATAGTGCGCTTAAAGTAGGCCACCTTATGGCCGAAAATTGTCAAAATTGGACTAGAACTGTTTAAGCCTCCAGATACCGAATATGTGGACCGCAGTTCCTAAAGCGAACAATTTATCGAAAATATCGGTCAATCTGTGAGATATGTTATTGAAATTCGGAGCAAATCCTTTCATCATAACGGTATGGCAAAAAGGGTTTAATCGGATGAAGCTTTCTCTCAGCCGTCATTTTGCTAATAGAAAGATTTGCGAATTTCCAGTTTACTTTATACCCCATATATCGGCCAATATGTGAGTTATCTTAGTGAAAATCAGAGAGCATGTTTTACTAATAACAATGTATCTTTGCGCCCTTATATAATTAATATCGTGATTTTTGAACATCTGACTGCCTTTACTCCATATATAATATATTGGGAGATGGTAAGAGTACCTTAATGAAACTAAGGGAGTATATTATTAGTACGTGGCATGTTAGTAATATTTGGTATTGCCAAAAATTTATAAACCCGTTTATACAACCTTTAGACCCGCATATACGAATTACCCCAGTCCCTTAAATATAATGATTATGTAGTTCAGTGTGTGAGTTATATATTTATAAAATTGCTTGAAAATATGTTCTCAAGTCAACTCAATATACTAAATTTAGCCTCTTCGTTTAAGTTTATATTATACATTTTTCATTTAAGGATGATTTTAATATAACTTTCGTTGACGCCATTAAAATATATTCATAAAACTAAGTGAGTACACGACCTTCAATATACATAAGATAATAAGCCAAATTTGATTGTTATCCATTCACGATCTTGTCGAGGATTGAAGTTGAATTCTTTCGCAACATATCTTAATATTATATAAAGTTTTGCCAACACTTATGAGTATTTCGCCGGCTTTGATCCTTGCAAGTTGCAAGAGTATAAAATGTTTATTTATACACGAACTTAGTGCTTCCTTACTTTTTAATGTATTGTATCTTTATTAAGAATTTTAATATATTTTCTTATTTTCTTGAATAGAAGAATAAAAAATAAAAATATATAACTAATTACTGTAGCTTTATTATACTAAGTATAATGCTTATACTGCTATAAGAAACTTATTTTGAAATTAAAGTTTTTCCTTTCCTTCTCTTTTATATTTTCAAACTTTTCTCATTTAATTTTAGTTCTTTCTGTTCCAATTTGTAGTCCACCTGATTTGAAATATTTCCTGGGACTATTTTTTATAAAGCTATTGCATAGCTTTCATCGCGGGCTTTGAGCGAAATTCAAGAAATTCCGTAACGGAAATAAACCTAATACGATCACAAAGAATGTGCAAGATGTTTGCATACTTTTACGCGTATTTTCGCATGTCTCAAGCTGAACAAATCAATCGAAGAGCAGGGTGAATCAAAATTAATAATATTTAAGATACAATTTTTTAATGGCAAATAATACAATGGAATTAAATAAAAATTGATTTAATAAAAAATATTTTATACAATATTTGGAACCATAATGTTAGTAACACTATTATTATTTTGGTAAATAGCTATCCCACCTTTTGGAAGTATCTCGTTTGAATTGAACAACACAATTGAAATTAGGTATTTCAATCGGATTATCAATGGTAATAAATTTCCACTTATCTTGGATGGCGATTTCAACTTTTCTGTCGGAAAAATTGAATTTGAAAATGAATAATGATCCACAAGAATCCACAACACTATATAGTGAGAGATGAGCTCGGCATCTCTTTATCTTTGATTGAAACTATAGGTTTATGGTAACTGAAATAAGAAACATAAGTTTGAGACTTGATATTCTCTAAATATCTGGAAAATACCGCGTCGAGGGTGGTCCCATATTTTTTTGTGAGTTCTTATGGATCATTATTCATTTTCAAATTAAATTTTTCCTAACGAAAAGTTGTCAACCGCTCTTATTTTTTATCAGCGAAGTTGAAATCGCCAGACAAGATAAGTGGAAATTTATTACCAATGATAATCCGATTGAAAAACTATTTTCAATTATATTGTTCAATTCAAACGAGATACTGTTCCAAAAGGTGGGATAGCCATTTACCAAGATATTAATAATGTTACTAATATTATGGCTCCGAATATTGAATAATTTATTGTTTATTAATTAAATTTTTATTAAATTCCATATTTTTATTTGCTATTAAAAAAATTGTAATTGTATATTATTTTTTTATCACCCTGCTTTTCAATTGATTTGTTCAGCTTGAGATAGGCGAAAATACGCTTAAAAGTATGCAAACATTTTGCGCATTCTTTGTGATCGTGTTAGGTTTATTTCCGTTACGGAATTTCTTGATTCCGTCGGCTCGCTCAAAGCCCGCAAGAGAAGCTATGCAATAGCTTAATACTGCATAAATACTAAGTAAATAATTATAATTGCATATTTGATAAAAAAAAATGCTATGCAATAGCTTTACAGCGCCAGTCCCTGAGTGAGTGTAATATTTCTTTCTGAGCAGTTTTCATAGACGTGTTCATTTATAACTATATGAATGAGTAGATAATCATCTTTTATTGCTACGATTTCAGTTTTATTCGTTATTCTGTATCGACATGAGTTAGAAAAGACACAATTATTGTTTAATTATAATTCCTTAGTATTTATTATTAAGGTATATTAACTATGAGTTAATTTGGTTTGTCAAATACTACATATTTATGTTTTGTTTGGTACTGCAGTTATTAAGTTCAATTCTGCAATAACATAGCTTTTTGGTATTTTTAGTTTTATTACTATATTTTACTTCCGTCAGCGTAAATTATACTAAAATCATTGAGAACTTATTTTCAAGCAAATTTAAAAATATACAAATATAAACATATACTAAAGTCAGACAGACGTTTCAAAATCGTGAATATCAGTTATATGGAGCTACGGCCATTTTCTCCCAACGCCCTCTCAATTTCACGCTCCCACGTTGGCCGATATGTGGTATAAAGCCAACAGGAAGTTCGAAAATCGTTATAACTCTGAATTCTTAAAAAATTATGTGTGTAAGAGTACATACCTTAAAGGCACTATTTGTGCAAAGTTTTATCCGGAAGTAGGCGTGGTTTTTGTCTGATTTCGCCCATTTTCACTCTGCAGGAGTGTCAGGGTAATATTACACACCGGATTCGGTTGAAATCGGTCGAATAAGTCCCGAAATATGGATTTTCACTTAATTGTGGGCTTAGCCACGCCCTTTGCCGAAATTCGACACCGTCTCCTACAAAGTCCTTGTGTACCATCTCGGGTGTAAAGTTGTATGTCTCTGAAGCATTTAGTTATTGATTTATTGCGCTTTTAGTTGTTTTTAACAACACCGTTATGTGGGAAGAGGACAGGGTCATAATCAGATTCCATAAATTTTCGCTCTGTCGGTAGGGGCTCTTCAGGAGATATGTTCATTAAACCTATTAAAAGGCGGACCACGCCCATTTTTACAAAAAAAAAAGTTTACCACGGGTGGATCTTGCTACTACAATCCCCTATAGCAAATTACAGTTTTATATCTTCATTTAGTGCTCAGCTATGATATTTCGTAGGTTTTCAATTAATGGCGTTTTGTGGGGTCGATTCTTTTTTGCCAAGAAATACGTGTACAAAGTTTCATTACGATACGAGTGCTGAATGTGGTCTATTCGGTCGAATATTTTCCAATAATTAATGCTGGGTCTCAAGATGGGTGTTGATGTTGCGAATAATACGCTCAGTAGGCCGATTATATTGACCATAAGTTGAACGAAGCGCGCGAAACACATCCTTTACAGAACGTTAATTTTCGTAACAAAGTTAAACGATTTGTAAACGTCTTTCGATGATGAAATGCCAAACAATACTGAACAAAAATGACAGCTTGCCACGAATCCCGCGTGATTTGTCAAAAAATACTATTGAAAAAAGTACCTCTACTTGGAAGACCCGTTATTATTACGAAATTATTTGAAAAGTATGTTCCAATAGTAATTGTTAATAAAAGCAAAAGTATAAGTCCGTGGTTTTCGAAAGAGTTATATAAATTGAAAAACAGAAAAACTCGAGTATTTAACATTAAATTTAAAAAAAACTGGTTCACTTGTCGACTATTCTAAATATTGTGTATTGAGTCAGCAGTATTTAGACCTTATCAAAAAATGTTTTAATATTTACTTAAGTAAAAAAGAATATTGTACGTACTTTAAAATCGTTTTATGATTTCGTTAACTCCAAACAGGATTTCCAAATTTCCGCGATGAAATACAAATATATCATGTCATGTGACAATCACATTATATCCAATATGTTTGCAGAATTTTTCAAGTCAAACTACTCTAATAATTCTCCTCAGACTTTTTCTTATCAGCACGTGCTGTGTCCGAATACTTTAATTAATGCTCCAATTATTTCTGAAGAAGACGTCGTACTTTATTTATGATATGATACCCCCATGCTTCCTAAAAAATAGTGCCAAATATATTTACTTGCCTTTGCCGTTAATTTTCTCATA